TTGCTTCACATTCACTCGATCGGGAAGCTGTCGATTTATTAAAAAATAAAAATGTTCTTGTGTAATTGAAAAGTCATTTGCTGATGTTCCCTAAGTGAAAGCCTCGTTTCGCGGAGAAGATCTCCCCGTCGTAATACAGACAGCAGCAGGGGAAACTGACGCTGCTGGCGGGTCCGCGAATGTCCGTCGAATATCCAACCTAAAACTAAATTCACCGCGGTAAATAAGAGATGGAGCAAATATGAATGCTGTGTAGATAGAGCAGTGCAATCCTCTGTCAGTGTTTAGACAATGTTCAGGAACAGCTGTGATGTTTGTGTTCCAGCCTGCTGAAGACAGAGTGCTGGGATGGAGTGAGAAGCAGAGGATCGAGTACACGGCTCACACAGCTCCAGGGACAAAGAAAGGTGAGGCACTTCCTGTCTTTGCACACGTTGTCTCCTGTCTCTCTGCAGACTTTATAAAGGTGCGTGTTCTCTGCAGACACCAGCCTGCCGCTCCCCCCCGCCTACAGTCCGGAGTATGTGGAGTCCAGCTGGTACCAGTGGTGGGAGAAGGAGGGCTTCTTCAGTCCAGAGCAGCATGTGAGCTTTAAAGAACAAACCCAACACCACACTAAAATACACAAGCACTAAATCACTCAGATGTATTAGTTTATTAGAACTAATATCTTTAAGTATTGCAATGAAGGAGATAAGTCAATCAAGCGCTGGCTCACCCCCCAGGGGCTTGAAGGCTAAAGGAGCATTTCCAATCCCTTAATATGAACCACTTGTGTTTCTGGGCTGTACATGGTTATATTCTTACATGTGTGTGCAGATGATAGATATATCTTCCTGTTAACACGAATGATTCTTGGTTGCTTTGATGGTTAAGAGTTGAATGTGTTTCATCTTTCTGTACCCTGATGAGAATGAGAACAACATTTAAGTATCCCACGGTGGGACTCAGTCTTTCATAATCTGATAAACTTCTCGAAAATCAAGCCATTTCTGTCGGCTGCTAACCTTTTAAAAAAAACTTTATCTTCAAAAGAAAACAACCACCATTTGTTATTGTTTTGACTTATCAGGGTTTTCCTTTCAAGTGATATGATCTATTAATATTGTATTACTGACTTGATGCTTTAAATTCTGCACTCAGCTCATGACCTACTAAACCCATATGGAAATGAAACAACTGAGCTTTGAAGTCATAATGGCTTGAACAGTTATACTATGCCATTTATCTTTATCACCATTTCAGTTCTTACCATGTGATTTCATTAATGTTGTTTGTGTTTCTCTAAATATTTCTCACTTGTGATATTGCGATGTCCCTCAGGAGAGGTTGCCCCACGCTGTGGATCAGACCTTCTCCCTGTGTATCCCCCCCCCTAACGTGACGGGCAGTCTGCACCTGGGCCACGCTCTGACTGTGGCTGTGGAGGACGCTCTGGTCCGATGGTAACTGCTCACACACCTGCAGCATGTGGACTGTCATGTTGATGTTCTGACTGAGTGTGTGTCCCCCAGGCGCAGGATGCAGGGCCACAGGGTACTGTGGGTTCCGGGCTGTGACCATGCAGGCATCGCCACACAGGTAGGACTACTTCTTCTCTTAGTACATCACATGGCATTTAAGTGATTGGCCAATATTCTCTCAGTGGGAGAGTCACTTTGGGATTTTAGCTTCTGCAGACCATTTACATGCACAAAACCTATATAGGGCAAAATAGGTCCCCTTTTTATAAAAGTACCCCACGCTCCATCACATTCAAAACCACTGGAACAAACTATTAACTAAATAAATAGCCATTGCTTCCAAAGTGTCTGAGAAACTCTGCTACAACTTGTTCTTCTGAGTTATAACTCGCACTAACCTTTATATTTGTACTATATTGTCTTATTCTATTTCAGCTTGTTCTGATTAGTTTTATACTGATTTTGTATTGTCTTTTTAAAAGTGTATTTAAATGTTATCTTATGGCGCATTTCCACTGCAGCGGGTAGCCCCGTTTAAGCTGACCTTAATCGTCCTCAAGCGGCCAGGCCAGTTTTTGGTGGCCTTTCCATATAGCGTAGCACCGGCTAGCGGGTACTTTTTCCGGCCCCATAAAATGGTGGTTCTATCAGGCCAGGGCCAGGGCTGAACTAGTGACGTCAACACTCTCGACTGCTGATTGGTCAGAGAGAATCGTCACAAGATCGCACGCGAGATCATCCCTAGCATCGCATATATATCTAGAAGCAAGCTTGCATAATTTTTATACACAGCATTTTTGTAAACGGAGGACCTACAAAAATGGCAACGTTAAAGAAAAGCACACCGTGGTCGACCGAGGAGGTGACGACGTTCCTACATCTCATTGGCCAAAAAAAAGCCGATCGCCCCGCCTACACTGCGTTGCTACCCCAGGTCCTAAACTGTAATGGAAATGCGCCACGGCCTCGGACGGCCTGCGAGGCGCCCGAGGTCTGAGTGAGGACGCTTAGGGACGCTTAAACAGGGCTACCCCGCTGCAGAGGAAATGTGCCTTTAGAGACCGGCTGGTGAACATAGAGGATCATTGAGCAGATAAAAACTGATATTTATCTACAAAAAGCCGAGCTTAAAAGGAGAACATTGGACTATTGGAAGATTCATCAGACGGAAACAAAAACACAGTCACTGAAGTGCCCTCTGTTGGATGTGGAAATTAGTCGACTAACAAGTTTAACAAATCAACTTTAAGCAACACTGTGTAACTATA